AGTTTTATTTTCCTTTTCCAAACCTGGAAATACTACCAAAATAAGCACAAAATTTAGTGGTCCAGAGACAGATTTGGATGCACGCCTGCAGAGCTATGTTTGTTTGTTTTTTTTTAAAAGATGATATAAAATTGGATGTGGGCAAGGGAGAAAGGGGTGTTTTAGACCTGAGAGAAGAAGAGTAAACAAATGTGATGTCTCAAAATGTGACAGAGCAGAAGGATTTTCTACTCCAGTGACCAGGAAGTAGAAAGGAGGGATGCTGTGCCCCGCCGTCCTTGGTGTGACTGTCCCATCTGGGTTCCCTAAAGACAAACAACAAACCTAGACCATTTTAAGTGTCTTTGAGGGAGGACGGAGAGAAGTTGTCGAGTTTGGTGGAGATGAGAGTATGAGGAGAAGGTTTAATGCTCTGGCTAAGATGGAACCCCACAGACCACGTTAGGAATTTCCCTAGGGCAGTGGTGGAGATCCTCCAACTGTTTCATACACACACACGAATCTACATGCATTTAGCTTTTGCTAAGAATAAGGGAGGGTTTCAGTGACAGAAAAATGAGACTTGGCTGTGGATAATAAAAGTATTTAATGTAGGCCTCTACATATGAGATGTTAATCTTGCTATAAAAAAGTAACTGAATTCTATCTTATTTTTTAAACAATATGCAGAGAATTATTTTTTTACTTTGATTTCAACCAAAACAAGTACAGACATAATTTGAGCATAGTGTTTTCTCAGGGACATGTCTGAGGGGCTCATAGAAGAAAGTACATCTTTGACTCAACAATTACTTGAGTATCTGCAGTGGGTATTGGGTATCAGGTGCTGGCCTAGGTGCACTGGTAAGCATAATCTATAACTATGGCCTCCTGATGCTAATTTTCACTTTTTATATAAATGGTTCTCAAACTTTGGCAGGCATCAAAATTACTTAGAGAGCCTGTTGAAACACAGACCACTGGGCCCCATTGCCAGAGTTTCTGTTTCAGAAGATTTGGGGTAGAGACCAAAAGTCTTCATTTCTAACAAGTTTTCATGTGGCACTGATCCCTCTGATCTGGGGACTACTCTTTGAGGACCATGTACTTATGGCTTATCTTGAATTAAGTATAGGAAAATGTAAAAACAATTTTGTTAATGGTAAATTAAAATTTTCTTAAGTGGATATATTATCTCTCATGACTTTAGTGATGGTTAGCATGTATTTTGTAGTCATAACAATGGAAAAATGGCATAGAGAATGGCAAAGCCCAATAAAGAAAGAGTTTCTCTTTCATCACTACAGTCTGAGAATTTTTTTAGACCTCAGGCAATTCATTGGAAGAAGTCTAAACAGCACCAGGGCCTAAGTACTAAATAATATACTAGTCCAAAGAAGTGCTAAAGGATTACCAAGTTGAAAGCCAAGTTACCATTTCTTTATTTTTATTGTTGATATTATTACAGATGTTCCATCCCCCTCCCTGCAGCCCACTACTGCTTTTAATTATGATAAAAATTCATATATAAAGAACTAGATGAAAAGGAAATACTGTGTGTATTTTTTAGATAGGGTTATTTTGATAATATTGAAAGCATGATCATTGACATAGTTTAAAAATTCACAGCTTTAGTTTTGTCTGGCCAAATATTTTGATGAAGTTAGAATTTAGTCTAAAAGTCATGGGTTGGCAAGAACAATGTGGTGTGTGAGACCAGATTGGGAGTTTTATCCAATTTGGATAGAAGTCTGTAGTGACTTTCAGAGCTGGCACTAGAATTCTCTTTGAGTCACTTCTTTTCTCATCACCTATACCTAGCCAGTCCCCAAGTTCTCTTACATCTTCCTTGCAGCAATGGCTCATATATCATCATTTTGTACTTTTGTCGAGATTTTAACTTCCTCATAAAAATTCTCCAAGTGCATTTGACTGACTCCTTTTTGTCGCATTTGAAAGGTCCCCCTATTGTACCTTAGACCAATCCAAACCTTCCCAACATCAAAGTTTCTCTCCACATTGCCTCCTTTTCCATTATAAATGTGTCAATCTCTCCCATTCAAAAAAACAATTTATTTAACCAGTCTCCTCTTGTTAAATACTGAAGTTGTTAACCAGTCTTTTAGGTTTGGTATCATATCTTGCTCATTCTTTTTCTTAATGAATTTAGGAGCTGCAATTGTGGCACATTTTTCAATGGGATACATCCACCTATTAAAATGATTGTTTAAATTCTTGACATGGAAAATGTTTGAAATGTCTTTGAAGAAAAAATATCTCTATACCAGACTATGTGTAGCATATTTGTTTATTAGTTACAAATAGATACTAAGCCAGCTAGCTAGGTAGCTATGGCAATGGTCATCTGTAGGTGGTTGGATTGGACTGGTATGTATTTTAGGATATTTTACAGTAAATACTCATCATCAGCACATTAAAAGTTATAAAGTACCTAATAGAATAAAGAGAAAATATGCTTATATTCGAAAGTGATTGTTATTAAGGCGTGAGATTTTGAATTTTTTTCTGCCTTTGTATATTTCCAAATTTTTTTTACTCCAGTAACAGAATAGTATTTAACTTAGTACTTAGCATTTAGTAGCACTAAATACTTAATAATATTAAATATTATTTGCATTTAGTATTGGAAAGTATAAAATTAATATTTATATAAAATTATATTTAGTTTACAGATATATATATCAGACCATAAATAATTTCAGTAATATCACTTTTCTGTGCAAAACTTTCAGGGCTTGTTTTTTTCCTAGTAACCAAAGTTCAAACTTCTTAGCCTGGAAATCAACCTCTCCATAACTTAGGACCTATAGGTTCTTGGCTTTCATTATTCAATGTTTTATCTCAACAAGACTTCAGTGTTCCTGGATGGAATCCCCACTCTTTTCTGCTTCACCATCTTCCTATTTCTCTTTTATGTCACCTTTCAGCATGTCCCCATTCACCTTTCCTCCAAGGCCTCAGCCAAGCACCATTTTCCATGGATCTGCTGCAGTCTAACTCAAGCATTTGAGTGCACTTAGCATTTTGTTTTTAATTTTTTAAAGATCTGTTTACTTTGTCCTATGTAGTATTTGTAGTGTAACATTTGTACACAGGTACTACCTCAACTTTCTTTATTGCATTTTTTTTTGTTTGTTTGGAGGGGGTAATGGGAAGATAGTAAAACTAGTTAAACTAGTGAAATCTATCCTCTCATAATATATGCTTACTCATTTATGGAGAATAAAACAGATCTGGGTAGGAATCCTCCCTCGGCCATTTGCTGGCTACGTGCATTTATATAAGGTTCCTAATCGATCTGTGCCTCGTTTTCCTTATTTGAAAAGTTGAAGAAAAATGTATTTAGTATTGCTAAGAATTCAGTGAGACAATTAATAATACAGATTATCTGGTGTGACATCAAATGCTGTGGTTTGGCTAAAAGAGATTGCTTTCCTATCATGGATGTCTTGAGGTGAACATGTGAGGGCTGAAAGGGAAGCTCTGACAATTTTAGCACAGAGATTCCTTTGCTAAGACAGCTGCTCTCGTTGTCCCAGACAACAAAAAGAGGAAAAAAGGAAGTAAGATATGGGGTTGTATTTAGATGACCAACTCCCATCCCACTGACCAACATTTAGTCCTGTAATCACAGTTAGCTGCAAAGGAGTCTGGGTAGTTAAGTCTCAGCTCTGTGCTCTACTGAAATTCAGCAGGTGGGTCCTTTTAATAAAGGGGAAGGAAAGATAAACAATATTCATAATAAAATCAGGATTCTGATCCTGAAAGACTGTTACTCACACCCCACTGGGATGAATTCCAAAAATAAAGACCTTGTCCATAGAGACCTCCTGATAGCTTCCCTCTGATCTCTCTAAGCAACTCTTCTGTCTATAGATTTACTGCAGATGCTTTTCCTTCAAACTGTTAAAACTCCGAAAGGACAGGAAATCTGTCCAGATGTCTTATTTAAATTTTAATTTGTCCTCTCATCTGCTTTATTCTCCCCTCTAGGTTAAATAAAGAAAAATCATATCTAGGGGTATTCCACAAATTTCAGTAGTTTAAATATGGCTCTACAGAATGTGCGATTAAAGTTTATGAACATGTTATATTTTTACTGAGGTGCTGATAGAAGTCTCTGGCTGATAGAAAAAGCCTGATTTATCTTTTAGCTACTTTTTCAGTTCTTTGTAATTAGGATATTCATTCTGTTTCCATCACTGGGCAGCAATCAAAAGGCAAATAGAGCAATTAGGATGGCCCCACACCTTGTCATTGGCCCTACAACGTTCTAGAAATAGTAATGTGCTCTAGCAATGACATAATATGAATGTCATTACATTTCCTCATGTGACAATGTGCTGTCATCTGGCAGCTCTGAGGGTCATGTAGAACACAATGGTAAATAAAGGAGAATTCTTAGATTTTTACATTTTTTATTTTAAAACAATTTTATAGTGATAAACACCTACTTTTAAACAGAATGATGCATTAATTAAATGCCTTGTCATAGCTATTATAAGCTCTGTTAGAAAAATAGACATCTCACAACTACAGCATCAGCTCTTTAATAAATACATAATACAGCAGTTAGTAGTCAGTCAGAATTATTTGAACAGCTTTATTGTATATTATATGAAATCGTCATATCCCCCAGTCTTCTGTGTCCTTTAAGGAGATTTAATTTTATGTATAATTCAAAGCCAGAAATAATAAGATACTTGTTTAATTAGAATTTGTTTCTTAGAGCTATTTTATATTCAAATATTTAAATTTAAAAATATACACTATGTTAAACATTTTTTACAAAGGCAAGACTTGTTAAATGAAACAAATAAGGTTATATTACTGATAATTTAAAAACATTTCTAAAATTTTTTTCAGAATTCTAAAAATGAAGTAGCTGGTAAATGTAAAATAATTTTAAAGTTACGTTAAATATACACAAAAATGAATTTCTATATTAATATGTGCACATTTATATTTTATTATAATTTAGAATTAAAATATTTTATATTCAATATTCTTAATAAGACTTATGTACCATACTTGTCATTGTGTGGAATTCTTATCAAAATCACATTTATTTGTAGTACAGTGTAAAAATTCTTTATATAAATCACATTTTCCTTTCTTGGTGACTGCAGTTTTTTTATTTTTTTGATTGTTGGGTTAAATAAGTTTAACTGAAGTAGGCTGTAGAGGTTAGAAACCTGATTAATAGAGTTAGCTTACAAAGATAAACTTTATGCAGGAGAGCATCTCAGGTAGATAAAAGTAGTGTTGTTACTCTCAGGTATTTTATTAACAGCTGCCCAGATAGCTGAACAATTGTTTCATATAATTAAAATAACTTAAATATGCAGTTTTATGACACTTATTACATGGGCTTGAAGGTAATTTATCAGACCCTAAGGAAAGAAATTAATCAAAACAATAGAAATGTTAAAGAAGAATAAAAAAGTAGAAGGGCTCAAAGAGAAAGTTCTTTTTCTGACAGCACTGATGATTGTATCATGTTTTTCTCCTGTCACTGAAGTAACACATGCAAGATGCTGCAAAATCTAATTATGATGGTTACATGTAATATTCTTCCACTTAATTTTAACACCAAGATCATAATATAAGAGTATTCTTTACAAAATAATAGAAAGAATAAAAAATTGTTAACAAAACTCATTCTTATCAGTTAAGCTAGGGTTTGCAGAAATCATAGCCACTAGCATAACAGGAGGCTGAAAGCTTTCACAACCTAAAGGTCTGCAGAGCACGAGCTCATAATCAGTTAGGCTCCATGTTGAGTTGTATGTGATTCACTTGTACTGAAAACTGGCTCATATGTTATCATAAATGACTTCTCAAATATTTGTAAGAAAGCAATGTCCCTATATCCATGGACATTTAGTTAAAAATTAATTAGTGTAATATTTATTTAAGCTCAACTTTCCACACTGCATCTAACGTGCCAATAATTGCAAGATACAGCGCAATATCAGAGATGTTATATTTAAAAAGTAGATGTCTCAGAACCAATAAAATATGAACATGTATAACCAGTTACCCATAGTAAATTTTCCCTGGAGGAATCATAAAAGAAAAGGGAAATGATCTGAAAGCTAGTTCCATATTTCTTTGAAAAGAAATATATTTCAATTTGCATTTCATGAAATGGATTTTCTCAGGTCAATATTGAGGACAGTCATAAAATAAATGTTAAGAGCAAATAAAACAGAATACAATATGCACATGCTCAAACTCCCAGGTAGCTGTATTTCATTTGACACTTTTATAAAAAAAAAGTCTTAAATCCTTTAAAACTTAATCTCTAACACTTGTGAAAATTTAAAAATTTTAATGGATCTGTCTTTGTTCAGGTAAGTAGATTCAAATGAGTTTTAAAATCATTAAGAGATGTTTGGAAATGAAGAACTTTATTATACCATTACATTTGGTTATTTTTCACAATTAGGTTTATTGAGTTTGAAGTTTTAGTGTAATCCCTTCTGAAAACTGAGTAGAAAAAAACAAGGACTAAGGAAAGGAAGTAAAAGCCATTGAGTCTAATTTGCTATGTCAGGTGCCTGGAGGAATATAATTCTGTGGAGAAAAATTTTCATAGTCCATCATAAAAATAATTTCAGTGTCTCATGGATTCCTGTTGTCATACATAAGAATATCTTCAGTGGATATTGATTACATATTAAGAAATATTTGAAATTTATTCTTTAGTGAAGTGTTGCATCTGATACATGTGCTAATTTTAATTTTGATGTTTGAAAAATTTGCCTGTAGAAAAAAAGTATTTTTTAACTCAAGTTTTTTTTAATCTTTATTAATCTAAGCTACATGGAACATTTAAGAGATAGTGAGATTTTTAGTGAATTTCTGAGTCTTGCAGAGAATGTCTATGACATCATAAATATTAACAAATTTTGCAAAAGATATCAAATGCTTATAAATCCATGTGCACTGCAGTGTAAAGATGTCCCCAGAGAAATGAAATGCATGCAATGATATTGTAGTGTATGGGCAGTGCATTTCAAAGTCATTACATACTTATGGGCGCAGAAATGCTGTCGTACCAAAAGTGTTCAAGTTATTAACTTTGTTAACCATTTAAAATTTATGACTTGTGTTTAATATCCGTGAATCTCAAAAGACTCCTGTGGACATATTGAAAATAGCCTCTATTTACAAATATTACGTAATCTAAGAATACCCTGTTTTCCCTTCCCTTTTAATTAATTCTAACTAGTCAAATATTAATTCTCACAAATCACTATACAGGAACATACCAATTATTCAAGTAAAATATAAGCTCTAAAATCTTTAAGAATTAGATCTTTATGTAAAAAACGAAAGCACATCACAAGCATAACTTCAGTCATCATCTAGCATTGAACTGCCCATCAGGAAGTTTGTCCATTCCTGTGATAACAGCCTCAGTTCATTATAAATTAGTGCAAACTACTGAGAGTGTAAAGAATATAAACCCTGGACTTTTAAGGGTTTCATTTTATTTTGCTCTTTTGGATAATCGTTTCATGTGGAAATTAGTTTATGAACATTGTAATGTTCACTTTTAAATTGTCAGCATTTTAATAAATGGATTTTCCCCAGTTTTTCCTTTTGGGGCTCTGTTAGGTATCCATTTATTTTCCTTTTAAAAAGGATGCTATGTGTGACAGACAGATTGCAAAATATGATTTTTACGTTATCCTTAGTGGTCAAGGGTCTCTTACACAAGTGAGTCACAGTACTGACTTACGTCAGTGTCCCCAATCTCTCATTTGGGGAAGGAAATGCAGTTTAGCTTAGAGTCCTAATTGCTTGGTTGTAGGGGACAGCTAATGGAGCTGCCGTATTTGTTGGCTCCAGAACAACTTATTTTATACTTTAAAATGTTCTTTAGGGTAGAATATAGGGTAGGGGAGTTAGTCTTCATTGAAATGCAAATATCTAGCACTTTGATTAAGTGCTGGAAGACAGCAAATCTGGGATGTTAATTATAAGAAGACATTGTTGTCCTAGGCAAAGCTCTGTACTACACACAGGACTATTGGACTATATCTGTAGGGCCATGGGAATTGTGAGTATGTTTCCATCGCGGAAGAGGAAAGCTCATGACCTCTGTATCAGTCTCTCAGGTTGAGCTCTGCACGACAATAGGGGTGCCTTTCACGCAGGCTAAGGCTGGGATGGATTTCCCTGGAGTTAGTGCTTAGAAGCTGATTAGCAGGAAAGACTGGAAGCCAGTCATGGCCAATTCAGTTTGAATGACTCTTTTCTGTTTCGCTTTGATATTTTCTCATGCTCATACACTTAAAACTTCAGCAAATCACATTTAAAAACACTTGCCAATTAGATATTTTAAAGACTCAAGAGGTAGCGTGATATTGTGCAATGAACACTAGCCTGGCAATAAGAGAAATTTTCTTCAAATGCTGCCACTTAACCACTGGGATGTTTTTTGAGAAATCATTTAAACCTTCTGAGCCTTGATTCCCTAACTAAAGGATGAATGAGCTTATTTCTAAGATATTGTCTATCTCCCTCCAATTGCATACTTTGAGAATTCTGGCAGTGGGGTTAAGGTGATACAGAGAAAGAATGACCGCAGGCTTCATGGAAGGGCAAAAATAGTATAGCTTAATATAGCTTCTAATTTGAAAAATGCTATTATCTACTTGGAGTGCATATCTGAGAAAGCTCAGTCAAAAGTGTGGCACTTGGCTTGAGGCAGAGTTTCTAAATGCCTTGTGCATTTTAACCTGATGCTTAAACAAATGAAGTGGTGAAATAGTCCATCCAGTTTACCAGGCAAGTAGGTATGAAACTCCACGTCGGCAAATAACAAAGCTGTTCAAATTTTGATGTTACTTTACAGTGTCCCTTATTAAACATTCAGCTTTTAAAACCAGTATTCTAATAAAGTGACATTGTATTATTAAGTTTTTATGGCAGTAGTAACTTAGCACTTATTTCATCCAGTCATCTGTGACACATATAAACTTATCCTGTAAGAAAACCAAATTATAAAAGCAAAGAGGAGAGAATGTTGGAATTAGTATCCATCTTGTAAAAAGAAGAAAACAAACACACATGCATAGAACTACACAGTTTCAAAAGCAATATCCCTCAAGATGAAGGTTTTTATCTCTTCAACTCTTGGATGAGCAAAACACTAACCATTTCCCCATCTAGCTGTTCTTGTCTGTTCTCTGGCAAACGTTGAAGTGTTTGGCAACATTAGTATAACTGCCTTATTCTTTTTTCGCGTGCACATTCCATGCAGGGAGGATGGTACCCCTGCAGCGACACGATGCCAAAACTACCTCAAAAGCATTGTGTCTCTCTGGGAAGCGTAGGGATGGCAGGTACCTGTAAAGTGTAATCAGTGCTCTTCAGATGATCTACATTCTATGCTGATCTAAATAAGTTATATATTACAGTAAAGTGCTACAATGACACTAGTCTCGAACAGTAGTAAGACACATTTTTCTCAGAAAAAGTCAGCAGCGATGTGAGTCACATGATGATGAGGATGCCTGTCAGTCTTCATTCGAGTGAAAACCAGCAACTAGCAAGATCTAGCACAATTTGTCTCCTCCTGTGACTTCTAAAACTATAATTTTTAGGAGCAATTATTAAAAATCCAGTTTCCCATAAAGTATTTTTTATCTTTTAGAAGTTGCACCTGAAATTTTCATGAGCATTTAATTTGCTGATATCCATTTTTATTTCTTCAGGTTTCTCACGTCGGTAGGTTACTGCTCTTGTGCAAACACTTTGCAGAATCAACTTGTCCTTGATGGAGGAGAAATATTATCATTAGTTAAGGATCTAAATATTGGAAGTAGACAATGACATACTGATAGCAATTTCTTTTTAGAATTTACTGACCTTTTTTGAGGCTGACACCCTGTAATCTGCTGAGGACTTTATTTTATTACTATTCCATTGTAATATCACCTGTCTAATGATAAGGACTTTGAGCAACCCAATCAAGAATGTAACTATGAAAATGATGAAAAATATCCTCAAGTAGCTTGGGCTAGAGAAGCATTCTGTAATGAAGCAAACAAATAAATGTATTAAAAACTGGAATGAGTACATCAAAGGATTCCAACAAGTAAACAGTGTTTACCATCTCAATTAATAGGACCAGAGGTATTTGCAAATCTACATTTCAAAAACAGGGGACTGCCATTACTGTTGATGCAAAGAGTAACCCTTGATTTTTTATTACATATTTATTATTAAAATATTTTAACGTAAAACTTCTTTGTAGAATAATCACAATTAAGGTGTTTAATAAGAGGGTTTCTTTTGTTTGTTTGTTTGTTTTTTGGTTTGTTTTTTTTGCAGCTTGATTCTGTAGTAGTATAAACTAGAATATGTCCAAATCCCTTAACCAAATATAACCATATATATTAAAGAGAGAGGGACCTTTTTTGTGGTGTACACCCTTGATCACTAGGAGAAAATAGGATTTAAAAATTATTTAACAGCTCTCTTTATTAGCTATGTTTCTCTTGTGCTTGCTCTTCATTTGTTGCATACCAGTAATGGAAGATAAAGTAAACATCTGCAGAAGCTAAAATCAGTACTACACTAACAGAAGAATAAATATTTCCTATGAAATTGCAGTGCAGTTTTTCATGATTATTACACATAGCTTCTCCAGGAAGTAAGAGTGTCCAACTCAGGACAATACACAAATCTTTTCCCTAAATTTTTATTTATTTTTTACTTGTCTGTTAACCAAATTTATTTTGCATCTAAGTATTCTACTTGCATTTTTTCAAGAATAAATAATTACTAGCTGGAAAAGGACATGCTGCACTAATGGCAGGGGCATACTAGATCTCTGTTTTAGCCCTAGACTTTTGGCAAACTCCAGTTGGAAAGTCTACAGACTCTTGTGGCTGCCAGAGGTATTATCCAAATCCAAAAGGAACATGGTTGCACAATATGCAAGTATTCCACAGAACTTACCAGCTGTCCCAGGCTCAAAAAATTACCTCCTGGTCTAAAGAGGCATGTGTTTTTTGCCTAATCTCCAGACTTTGGGGACTTCACCTAAATGTCTGAAGGTCTCCCTGACAGGGCCTTTCAGGAGGGGACCTGCCAAAACTTAGAAAAGCAATCACCCAATTATGGGTGATTTGTGTCTGAATTACCAGGGATGATCAAGCATACTCCTGAATATGCCAAGAGCTCATATAATCAGGGCAAGGGCTCGTCTCCAAGTGGGAAGACAGAGCCCAGTTTTCTTTTGGTCAATAATAGGATTCCTTGAAAGAAAGGTTAAAGATGGGCTGGAGGACTACTAACTGAAGTAGAAGCACCACACACAAAACGCAAGTTTTCCTTTGTTACAGGTCCTTCACATGCAGAGAATCCACAATGCTCTCTCTATTCAAAGGTGACGCCCTTGGAGTCTTCCACAGCGACCTTAAATTTTGTGACATGCATGCCTTTTATCCTGACATACTGTCATTTCCCTTGGCTGACTTAGAACTACTCAATCAGCTAAGATCCTTAGAGGGGGCACATGGCTTGATCCCACTCATTGGCTCCTCGCCTAATAGAAGCTTAGCCAGAAAGAGCAAAGAACACCCTTTAAGTGTGATTGAGTGGACAGATAATAGAGGTGGCTAACAAATGCCCTTTCCCTCTCCCTGCACAATAGTTGTGAAGAGGAGGGGAATCCGATAGCTACTGATACATTTTACAAACATTTCTAATAGGTTAGGAAAGAGAACATTTTCAGGGCCCCAATCTGCATGCCCTGGCCATGACTATCTTCTTGGTGTAGGTCAAGCAAGGGCTTTTTCTAAGGAGCTTTAATGGAGCACTTTTTGTAACCACACTTAGGTCACAGTAGGTTTATTTACTTAACATAATAGATGACATGTTGACAGTAAGGGCTTTATTTATTAGAAAAGGCACTTGGCTTTCTGGAGTGATTGCTACAGCTGCAGCTGGCAGCACATGGACTCTTTTCAGAGCCCAATTCATTGTGGGCTAAAATCAGTATGGATACGAGAGAAGAAGCACTCTGGAGAAAGTTTATTTTTTGTGCACTCTCTCTAAAAGTTGATATTATTTTTGCAGGTAAATGTTTTCAGTGAAGACATAATTTCAAGCTTAATTTCAACTTTGTGTGTATCTTGACACCTGACACCTGAGCAAGGTGGCATGCTGGCTTTTGGGTTCTAATGCAATGGTCTTTGAACACCACTTTCACATGTTTCCCTCATTTATGTGTCATTTTGTAATTCGCATAATTTTCTCATGTTCACTGGCTCATTTAATCTTATACAACTCTGAGACTGGTGTTACCATCTCCATTTTACAGATGAAAAAACTGAGGCTCAGGGAAATGCTATAAAAGGCTGATAGTGTCAAGGGACATGTCTTAGGCCAAGGTCTTCTGACTAAAAGTTCCATACCCTTTGCATTGTGCCACCTTTATATTTTCACCCTAAATTTTATTGGTAACAGAATTGAAAGTACCATGAAGGAATGGCCCTTTTGAAGTTATGCATTTGGCAAAAACAGATCATTGCTACTGAAACATGAAAATGTTTGACACAAAGAAGGTTATAGCTGAAGCCAGTTTGGGTTATGAAGGATAATTATGGTTCCACAGATGTCTCTAATGGTGAAATGGACTCTACGTAGGAAACTCCTTGGCTCGCTGAGGCCTCTCTAGAAAATATGTTTGCTGTACTTCCACAGAGTTGCACAGCATGGGAATTTAGCTGGATAGCTGAGACTGGAGATCTAACAGTTCAGCCAATCATGGCAAACATATTCATCTGATTTTACAGAGTACCACCAAAGCAGTTAGTACATTCTTTAGGGTGGCTGATTAGGACCCTTACTGGGAAAGATGATTCTCTACAGATACTTTCTCAGTGCTTTGATTATTAAGCTTTGGTTTACCTGATGTTTGGTCCACATAATGTTGTTCCATGAAAGCACATGAGGATTTACACCGATCAAGTATAGCTTGAGAAAGATTGTGGGGGTGAAGGCATTGCACACAATTCCTGTAAGGGGAAACAGGAGTGAAAGCATACAGTCTTTAAAAAGGTTATAACCTGTAGTATTTTCTATAAGAAATAAAATAAAATAGAATACTGCTTTAGTACAGCAGCCTTGTGGAACTGGGAAAGAAAGCTGCGGCACTTATTTGTAATCCTTGCTAAATTAAATACCATGGCAAAGTTATTTTCTAACCCCTTAAAATAGTTAATGTAAAAATCAAAATAATGATTTTTCTGCTTGTGTTTTCTTCTTAGAGTTTTATGGTTTCAAGTCTTACATTTGAGCCTTCAATCCATTTTGTGTTTATTCTTGCATATGGTGTGAGAAGGTGGTCTACTTTCATTTTTTGCATATATCTGTCCAATTTTTCCAGCAGCATTTATTGAATAATCTTTGTTTTCCTTATTGTATGCTTTTGCCTCCTCTGTCTTATATTAACTGACCATATAGGCATGGATTTATTTCTGAACTCTCTAGTATGTTTCATTGTTCTACGTGTCTGTTTTTATGCCAGTAGCATGCAGTTTTGATTACCATAGACTTATAGTACAGTTTGATATCGCGGGGCATGATACCTCCGACTTTGTTCTTCTTTCTCAAGAGTGCTGTGGCTATTAGTGGTCTTTGGGGTTTCCTAAACATTTTTGGGTTATTTGTTCTGGTTCTGTGAAAAATGAACTTTGGTATTTTGATAGGAATTGCGCTGAATTTGTAGATTGCTTTGGGTAGTATGGACTTTTTAATAATGTTTATTCTTCCTGCCCACGAGGAGGGTATATACTTCCATTTATTTGTATCTTCTTCCATTTCTCTCGAGTGTCATAATTTTGACTACAGGTTTTTTATACCTCCTTGGTTAAATTTATCCCTAGGTATTTTATTTTATTTTTGATGTGTTTGTAAATGGGACTGTTTCCTTAGTTCCCCTTTCTGATAGTTCATTGTTAGTATTTGAACATGCAACTGAGTACTAACCTAGAGGGTAGAGTATTATGCTAAATGAGATAAATCAGTCAGAGAAAGACAAATACTATATGATTTCACTTATATGTGGAATCTAAAGAACAAAACAAACAAACAAACAAAATAGAAATGCACTCACAGATACAGAGAACAAGTTAATGGCTGCCAGAGGGGAGGGGAGTTGGGGGACTGGGTGAAAAAAGTGAAGGGATTAAGAAGTATACATTTGTCATTACAAAATAGTCCCAGGGATTTAACATACAGCATAGGGAATATAGTCAATAATATTGTAATAACTATGTATGGTGCCACATGCATGCTGGAAATATCAGGGGGAACACTTTGTAAAGTATATGATTGTCTAATCACTATGCTATACACCTGAAACTAATACAAAATAATATTGATGCCCTGGCTGGTGTGGCTCAGTGAACTGGGTGCTGGCCTGCAAACCAAAGGGTCACTAGTTCGATTCCCAATCAGGGCACATGCCTGGATTGCAGACCAGGTGCCCATTAAGGGGAGTGCAAGAGGCAACCACACAATGATGTTTCCTTCTTTTTCTCTCTCCCTTCTCCTCTCTCTAAAAGTAAATAAATAAAATCTTTTTAAAAATTTAATAAACAAAATAATATTGAATGTAAACTGTAATTGAAAAATAAGATTAAAAAATGACTTTTCTCTCTTGAGAGGAAAATCTATAGGAAATAAATAATACTCTCACCGCATGCACGGAAATAGCATAGATGCTTTAGAAGATGAATATTTAGACATGGTTAGAAAAGTTTAGCAATAGACTATAACAGTCTATTACTTGCACTACCAATCCAAGGAAGTGAAGGTCATAAAAATTTGAATAAAACACATTGGAAGGCACAGTGATGTTTAGAGTAGTGGGATTTGTTAGAGCAGGACTCAAACTGTTATCAGAAAATTAATCATTGGCACAAAATAATAATGCTACTTCATTTAACATATCACCTTTCATTTATCCATCATTTATTTTATAGTGCTTCATAACCACCATCATTCTTTAATAAAAATAAAACAATGATAATAGCTAACATTTTTTCTATTATATGATAACTGTGAACTAAGTACAAAATTTTTTTTACCATGGAACATCTAATTTAATTATCTCACAGAACTATAGCAAGGTATCATTATTATCCTCTACTTTTGATATTGGAAATATTAACAGGGAATATTCTCAGAAAAATCTCAGAGAATTTCAACAACTTTCCCTAGGTCAAACAGCTAATTAATAGTAAGCTGGGCAGGGAGCTGCTAAATTATCACATTTTGAACCTTAAGATTTACATAAGATTTCTGCATAAGATTATATGCCAATTATATATCCATAAAGCCAGCAAAAACCCAATGAACCCTTACGACTACTGAATTTTATTCTTTAAAAAAAAAAACTTAATTCACAAAAGCACAGGCAGCGAATGCCTTGATAAATTCTGATACTTACACAGCTATCTAGTGGCCAAAGACTGGAATCTAAGCCTTAAAATTCCCCAATTCCACATTCAGTTCTTTTTTTGCATGATGGTAACAATTTATTTGGATGAGAAGATCTAGCACTTCTAAGATTCTGAAGAGACTGTTTTCTGCATGTTTGGCGTCAGAAAGCACGTACCAGTTTTCATTGCAGGCCGTGTGACACGCCGGGCAGTGTTCGCAGAAGCGTCCGATGCTCCTGGGATCGGAGCACTCACACCTGCCACATACACATGTGCCTCTCCCACTGCACACTTGGCCCTTTGCATTGATGCAGTGTTGGGCTGATGCTGACGGGCACTGGCACCGATCTCCTTCCCAGCCGCTGAAGCACTGGCATCTGCCCGCTTCACACTCTCCATGCCCTGCGAAAGAGACGCCCCAGGACCTAAGTTATTGAGGCCACCAATATTGTGAAGCATTTCCAAACGTGAATTCCCCTCCCATCTCCATAGTAACACATTGAGAGTCCAGTGAATGGAAACAGCATCATTTTCTGTTTGTCTGACATACACAATGCCAGGACGTAGGAAGTCTGTTTTCAAAGCTGTTCTACTGTACATAGTCTCCCGATGCTATTGTGTTGTGCCAACAAGTATGAAGTCTTCTCTGCTGCAGTGCCTGCCTGACAGCTTGAAGGCCACTGTACATTCAGTTTTAAATTAAAAACACAAATATAAAGAATCTACAAAGGCTGAAGTAATGTTAATTGCCTGACTTGAAAACAGGGTTACCTTATTAATAGCTTCCATAATTTATTCTGTCTCTCCTTATTGCTAAAGGCCTGGGATCAGTTTGAAGGTCCATGAGGCAAACCTTCTAGTGCTTCAGTCCTTTGAGTGCCACATTTAAAGATAAGATCTCCAGGGAAGTCAAACTAATCCTTTCATTTCTTCAGGACATTATGAATTGAGCAGGTTGGCAGGGCCTGCCAAAAGGATGCTGTGCGCTATTATTACAGGGTAACAAGAGCAAGCAAGATGGTAGATGTGTGTGTGCTGGTGTTGGGGACATTAATGCAGACAAATAAGTTGAGGAAAAACACTGGTTATAAGTAGCTAATGGATTTTAGACTGCACACGTGTCCAAAATTTAAAATGATAATGTGAACCAGAGGGGTACATTTTACAGGGTTATATAATGCTTCTCAAGCTTATTTAGCAACAAACTTTCTCCATTCTTCCTCTTTCCCTCCCTCCCTCCATTGCTTCCCTGTCTTCCTTCATCCTCCCTTTATTGTGGAGCACTTCACAAGGTAACTGTTCCATAGAGTCTACTGTTGGATCGGCTCAATTTGCTAAGTGTAAAGCTAATGAGGTCCAGGCCAAACAAATGCCTGCCAGACCCTGTAAGCAGGCTGCACGACTAACTCTAGGCAGCCGACCTATGAACATGTGTTTTTATTCTCAGAGGAGACTAGTGAAGAAACTGCTTGTCAGCTTACAGTTTGCACTTATAATTTATACACAAATAATTCAAAGCAGGTTCTCAACTGCCTGTGTCAGTAGTATCATAGTTATATAGAACAGTGCCACTACAGTGAATTTTGATATTTTGCTATAAACAGAGATTTTAAAGATATTGAAGTTGTGGGAATTGACCTCAGAATTTTTTCTTTTCCCTGTCCCAAATAGGATTAGCTTTAAAAGATCAGTAGATAATTACTGGTTTGTTCTAAAGTAAAGTATAATCCATTCTACCTATGATAGTAGATTGAGCTGAATAAGTGTTTAAAATATAAAATATTTTGTGCATATAATAGAATAAAAAGGCAATTTTCCATCACATATTTATGTGATATAGGGCAAATCTTTAGCTTACACAAGAATAGAAAATTTATTTTATATAGTTTTTACTTTCCATATGCTTATGACAATGAAATATTTATCAATAATTTAATTGATATTTACTTATCAAAATGCAAACACTAAAAAGGTGTTTTAACAATAAGTGATTAGCACATTGTCACAGAAAAATTAATTCATTTAAAAACAATGATTTGTATGAATTTTTTAAATGCTGCAGATTTTCTGGATTCTAACCTCTAGGTGGCAGTAAGCTGAATTAGCCAAAAAGTACTTCAGGCATTCGTGCTTTAAAATTTGGTCTGTGTGTGGCCTCTGGGACTAATCTTCTGTATTACTAATGAAACCAGTATTTTCTTGAAGAATGCTGTCTTTTGACAATTTTATGCCTGGTATTGTTCCAAAAATAAACTGGAGAGATTTAAATTACTACAAGTTTTAATACCCTATATATAATGTATTACAAATTTTCCAGTGAATAATAATTATATTTTAATAACTCATTATCCTCTGAGCAAGCTGGAGGGAGTGACCACTTATGAGAATGAATCAGATCCTTCTAAAAGAATACCCTGATTATAGAAATCCTGTCAGCCATTATCTGTAATTTCCTTTGCTAGTATATATATCTTCACAAAGTCAAGGCATGCTTGGGGATAACAATTAAATTTTGGTTTTTATTTTTAAGTATTTTCTGTATAAAATTATTTAAAATATAAATATCAGAATCATGTGCTATAAACCTGTTGCTATGCCCTAATTTCATGGATCTTAAAACTTCAAATATTAAATTCAGATTCAGGGTTTATAATTATAAAGATGTGGTTTCAAAATACTTTAACATGTATGCTAATTTAACAGTGACTAGAAAAAAACTGCATGTATACGTTTATATATTTATACTCACCAGCACACAGATTTCCATGGTGATAGGGACAGGAAAAGTCATCCTTTTCACAGTATTTTCCATATACTTTTCCAAGCTTTATTTTGTGACACAAACATTTCCCGCAAATACAAACTCCTCGACCGCTGCAAACAGGTTGATCCTTGTGTGACTTGCAACTCTCAGAAGGAAACTGATCTTCATCAAAATGACATTTATTCTCCTCACACTGGAAACACTTGGAATCTAGAAAAGTTTCATCTACACACTTTCTTTTCGGTCCTCTGCTGTCGTCACACTGACAGCTGCAGTTTCTGTGTATGTGAATTTTAGTGGTTTCATTGAAACCAATAGGTTTGATTATTGCATAGCTTTTTCCTCCTGTGACATCACATTTTTTCATTGTAACTGTTACATTGAAAAGAACCTAAATTTAGGACAGGGAGGAAGAAAATATATATATGTCTTGATTATTTTTATTACCAATATTATATTCGTTAATGATATTTTGAATCAATATTCTGCCGTATAGAAATTAGTATTTATAAATAACACATGTAATAGTTCATATGTAGATATAAATCCCTTTTTAATTTCATTTATTTCCTAATTAATGAGCTAAAATGTTAAAGGATGCAATGACTACTCCTTGCTTATATTATACTATTAAATGTATAAGGGTTAAAGACTATTTGAAATGTCTATTCTACTTTCGATGATTAATATATGTCCCCAATTGATTTCTCAGCAAGCTTGAGAGAGCCTAGGTCATTTTCTGGATTCGGCCCTTATAATAGGGGGTTACTGAATATTTGATACTAGGGATAGGTCAAATAAACTAAAGGGCTCCTACTGCCTGGATCCCCTGAGATGGGGTGTTCAAATGAACAATTTTAATTTCGTTTCTCTTTTCTAGGATATAAAGTAAAGTTTCAGAGTTAAATTTTAGTTTATACATGGTATTATTGAGGAAAACATGAGGCTTTCTCCATCTTACTCAAGGAAAAAATACCTAGGACTCTCACTCTCAGAACTGCAGATCTCAACACAAAGTCATACATGATCTCAGTGGAGAGAGTGCCCAGAACTGTGCACCTGGGCTGGCAGGGATTGGTTTCCTCATGAAACTAAAGAATTTCTTTCCCCTGCCAAATTTGTCCTTTTTGTCTATTTTTATTTTGCACACGATTGGTTTAATGTGTCTATTTATATTTGCTAACCCACCTTACAATCTTCAGGTACTTTGGCAAAAAAGATTATATGTTTTTTCCATATTAGCCTGAAATGTTACCATTTAAAATAACTGTGCTAGACTTTTAGTTTGGAATGGAGACAGAAATACAGATACATGAATATGGATAGATATCTATATATAGCCCAAACAAAGAGCCTGTCATGAATATATTTATATTTCTATATTTGTATAAATATATTTGTACATGTAATACTATGTAAGATTTAAATTTAGCCTCATATATTATATATATGCATTAGAAATCAGAATCAGTCTCATCACATTAAAATCAATACAGTTGGTGTTGTATCTGAAATATTTTTTGCACTTAAGAATGTTAGGGATTAAAAGATGAGAACAATAATGTGGTCACTGCCAAATTAATAGTAGAGCAAAAGTTGGGTTTATATAATTAAGAGGTCATATAACTCTTACTGAGAGTTAAACTGTTTATATTACATGCTGAAAGTGAGGGGAAGGGGAAGAAAAAGATGTAGACAAAGGAAAAAAACAGTAAGATGGAAGGAAATACATTCTGCCAAAACTGGATTTTGAAAGAAAGAACTACTTCTAAGAAGGTAACCCTCTCTCAGAAAGTAACTTAGTGCATTTTTTTTGTTATCATAAAGTTTTCCCTATATTTAATGGAATCAAATATATATTTTGTAAATTGGTATATAATGTTTTTTGAACAAAATCCAAGGAGTGATTATGGAGGAGCCTACAGAACTGGAAACTAGCAATAGTTAATTTCAAATATACATCTTGTGGGGGCATCTCTACCACCTGCAGATTCTAAATTTATCAAGAGGGAAAAACATATTCAAATTAAAGAGAAAGGAAGATTCTATTTTATTAAATCTTAGGATCTTAGGCCCTTTTTATCTTTTCCAATAACTCTTGTTCTTTTTATCTATATCATGACATTAAAATAATTAATAACATCATATAGCCTTAGAGATGGAAACAAAAGGGATTATAAATCTAGTCCAAGCTATTCATTTAAATATGGGGCAACTGATGTCTCAAGAGGTAAAAATGACTCACTAAAAATCACTTCATCCAAGAAGAATTCCCTTTAAAAGCATTTTTTAAAAAATCTGTGTTTACTTGGTATTGTACTGGTCCCAGGAGAATCCCTATCTCCTCTGGCCCGTTTCCTGATGCTACTATAATCCAGGCTTCTTTTTTCCACAGTTCATCCTTTTTTAGTTAAATGATGACACTTCTTTTTGATTGCTTTAACACATTTCCCTACTTTCTCCTAGAACATTTAGAGAATATTGGGACTATTACAAAGTAAAAGATTTCGGAATTTTTAGTCCTTATCAGCTGCCCCATCACTCTCATTCTTTTCTGTGGATCGTTGACCTTCAGTTTCACATCTGCTCTGAGAATTTCCAGATTTGAAATCAAAAAGGCATTATCATCATCTTAAGTATAGATGCTACATATTTGAGGAGATGTGATTTCCTAGTATATCATGACTATATCAGTTAAGTTTAAAGATATTATCATTGAATAAGTATTTAATATACTTATTTATTTGAACTTGAGAGTTTGAGAGAGCCATCAGTGAAGTTAAAACAAATAGGAGCTTCGCAGAGACAATAAAAGTTACTTTGAATTGTAAATGAGATCTTTGGAGTCAGTAGTAAGTAAAGTTTCTTCAAATGGTTTGATTTTCTGTGAGGAAACATGCCAAACAACTTAGTTTACTTGAAATGGGAACAACGCGCACCCACATACTTCATCATTGCTTGTCACGTTGCCACATCCTTCTGTGCCTGGCTTTCTGGTCCCGTCTGGACAGATGGCAGTAATGTTTACATAGATGCCTTTTACCTGGTTTTCCACTTGAACTTTCACTTCCGAAATAAGTTTCTGCAGAGACATCATTTTTAAATTTTATACTGTATCATATCAAATGTAAACAACTTAACAATGTCAAGTTTATTAAATTATTCTTGGTTTAACTAAAAGATTCTGTCTATATAAAAGGAATAAAACAGCATTTCCATATAATGACCCAATTATATTTGAAATACATAGGAAATACTGAAGGATTAGACTATCTGCATTTAATCACTCTATTTTTTAAACATATTTTCATCCATTTCTTGCATTTTGATCACTTCGAAGATAAATCTCAGTCAGCCTGTGTTACAGAAATAATCGTGTATCGTCAAAGAGAGTAAATCTTGACAGCTTCAAATCTGAAACATGCTTCTCACATTTACAGCTGCTAAAGAAACATTTCAATTTCAAATACTTTCGACTGACATGAAAGCTAAAATGCTTTATTGATACAGAATTGAAAGGAAATTTACAGGGGGCCATTTCTATACAGTAGGTATAAGAATTACTGCTAGGTATGGTCCTGTAAATTCCCCATGAAGGGACTAGGGTTTTTGTCAAGTTCCTGGAGCTGGCTTGTGACAATCAAAGCTGTTACAATTCTTAATACTGAAATAGAGCCCCTTACTGAGCAGAAAACCAGTCAGGCATTTGTGCAGTCTTTCAAAAACCATCAATGTAATGCCTATCACGACTTAGGCACACACTCATTTCTTACATTACAATCATGGACACAGAGAACAGTAAGATGATTGCCAAAGGAAAGGAGGTAGAGGGAAGGAAGACAGGGTAAAATGGGGATAAGTGGTGAGGAAAGGAGACTTGAGGTGGGGTGATGAACACGCAATACAATAAACAGATGGTATATTATAGAACTGTATACCTGAGACCTATAATTTTATTAACCAATGTCACCACAATAAATTCAATAATAAGTAAATAAAACTCTAGCTACATTAAATACATACTGTAGATCTGCATGTATTTCATTTCATAAAACTAAGAACCTACCACATGCAAAAGTTCTTAATATATACTTATAAACAAAAGGAAGGGAAAAGGTGACAAATGTACCTAAGGAAAGAGAGTGAATAGCAGGGTATGAAGTAAAAAATAATTTCCAGTGGTTTCTAATTTTTTTACTTGAGTAATTTTTCTTCTTCAATTCTATAATCAATAAAGAGATATGTGCTAATTAATAATAAATTGTGGAATTATGGTAGTAAATTTTTAAAACGAGATGCTTCCTCAACTTAGTAAATTTTATTTGGATTAAGTAAGACTGCACCAGCCACATTTTTATCTCCTAAAGAACTCATACATTGTAATTGAATGATTTTGCCAAACCAACAGAAACCTCTAATGGTATGCAAATTGTGTTGATATGGTGATGGTCTGAGAGATCAGAAGGAAATTCCTAATAATCTCAGTATTCTCAGTCTGTCCTTCTGAAATCTGCTTCTTTTGAACCTTGAGCTAGTTGTACTAATATATTTCAAGAAGGGCATGAAGACTAATAACTAAAATGTTCCCCAATTTTGGAATTTAGAAGTTAAGCTCCAGACATAAGCTTAAGGTTCTTTTTTAAGATCTAAAAGGTACAGAGGTAGCATCTATATTTTTAATAATGTATAAGCCTTTTTTACTCCATGTAATTTATTTTTCCTTTCTTAATTTCAGCTAAATTACTATTGCTATTAGAGTTATGATTTTTATGTAATTTTAATTCTAGTGGCAGTCCTGATATAAAGTATAAAAAATAAAATGTAATCACATCACCATGTGCTAAACTCTTAAAAAGGAAGTGCAAAAAATGAAAAATTAGAATGAAAATACTTTTCTTCTTTGTTTTCATCAATGAATTGCAAATTGTTTCTTTTGGACTACAAAGACAAAATGAAATTGTGGAAGAATTTTGAAAATATAGACATATGTAAAATAATAACAGAATCCCAACTTAAGGAGAGTAGTTAGCCAGAGTAATTTTTTGCTGGATTTACTAGTATTTTTCCATTGTTTAAGGTTAATCAGAACTGGAATTAGCTAAGGTATCACATACCTATCCTAGGCAAATAGGAACATTAAACCAAATGGTACTGTTTTCCTTTTCATTGGTGCAGTCTGACATACTGGCAAGTTTGTCAATTTATATTTCTTGTTTGGGGTAATAAATGGGCTCATACTGTAAAAATTAGGGTGGCTTCTAATACTGTGAATTCCTTCCTTATTTTGATTATTCCTGGGAAGAAACTACGGATGGGAATGTTACACACATGGTTGATTTTCTTTGATAACAAGCTCCCCAAGTCCTAATGATTCTTTGTAACAGTGAAAAAGATATATGATTAGAGATGCACTTCCTTATTTCATTCCACATATTTTCAGACATAGAACAACTTCTTGGCCAAAAAGAAAATTCACAAGATTTATTTTCCTTTTAAAAAATCTCACAAGATTAACTCGAAGGGAATAGTCAAAAAACATGTATGAATGACCCATGGACATGGACAACAGTGTGGAGATTGATTGTGGGAGCCAGGGGTGGGATAGGCAGGGAGGTCAAAGGGGGAAAAATTGGCACAACTGTAATAGAATAAAAATAAAAAATTAAAAAATATATATATATAAACCAAAAAAAGAAAGTTTAAACAAGTCCTTCATATTTTATCCTGTGACTACTTTCTGCCTATCCCTTTGCTCCCTGAGTGGAGGGCAGATGTTGCATGGAGAAACTAAGAAGAGAAGCCTGAGATTTCTCACAGTGCTTGGGCTACTATTTCCCTATTCAACTCTACCGTGTCAGAAAGGGAATCAGAGAATTTTGGGGAGTGAGACTTCATTAATGCTCCATAACGTCAAGGTAGAATAAAACACATCTTTGGAAAGTATGTAAAATGTAAAAACCAAAACAGGTAGTATCACCTGGTCCTGGTGTTAAGGAAGACCTGGGTTCTGTACCGGCTTCTTCTGCTTGTTAGTTGTTTGTCCTTTGGTTAATTTACTTAGCTTCTTTGGAGTTCTACAAATACACAGTGGCAATACTATCCCCTGCTTCATAGATCAGTGTGCAGACTAAATGAGGCCATATATGGAGAGTAACTGGTTCTTAGTGGAGTTAAAGTAGCAGTCACTATTATCGTAACATCCTAACAGAGAATTCTTTCCAGGAATGGCCCAGGCTGAAAGGGTGGATGTCTTTTTAAACCTTGACATTTGGTACCCACTCTTCACAGACTGAGGACAGCATACAACTGTCAATAAAATAATATATCCCTTAAGGTGATTCTTTTAATCAAACTGGTTTTATAAAACTACCAAAACAACTCTTCAAATATTCAAGTAGCTCATCCAGGAAACCCCAACAGAGTCCTCTTAGTAATCTCTATATCACAGATAGATCATTTTACCTGACAGGTTGCCCCTTTAAATAACAGTATGAATTTCTTACTTTATTTTGATGACATGAGAAATTGTGAAATTTCCTGGCAATAAAGTATATTCTATAGCCGTGATTTGGTGACTCATAGAATATTTGATTTGGAAGGAGATTTAGATCGCCTGTGAATTCCTTCCTTATTTTGGAAGGCTTCCTGTCAGTGAGACACAGCGATGCACAGAGGGCTCAAGTGGCATTTCCCCAAGGTTCCATGACTAGTTAGTGGGAAAGCCAGGGCTGAATTAGGTTCTTCATTCCAAATGTTATGTTCTTTCCACCACTCCTTTCAAGATGATAGGGCACTGGTTGGTACCTTGCCACAGAAATTGGGGTTAAGATTTATTTTAAAAATTATGTGGAATACCCGTACACATACCTGATAGGCTTCTACTACCAAATTATTGAGGTTTGCAGCCTTTGATTCTATTTCACCAGCAATAGTGCCAGGCAAGAGGGGTAGAAGGTCCTACAAAATATACCAATAACATTTAATGACAATCATATGCAACGGTTTAGCAAACAAATAGTAAAAATTCTTGTAGTTACCAGTGGAAGGTGACATAAATCAAAAAAGATTAGAGAAAAGAGAAATGTAAGTGACCAACTAGGGCAGCTAAAACATGTATACCTGGAATGGTAGTGTGTATGTGTATGGGTAACAGTGTGTGTACAAGCACATGTTACATGCTGCCCTAAAAATCCAAGCAAAGCACAGACCAGCATTTCCCAAAGTATCTTCCATGGAACATAGTCTCAAGAGGTTTTAAATATGAAAGGATTCTAAGGACAGATAACTTTGCCAAGTTCTACACATGGTTTCTTCCACTAAGTGACTGAAAATGTACACTTGCAAATTAAAGGTTCAGAGATGTACACTTGGAAATTAAAGGTTCAGAGAGGTCCTGCAATTCAGAAATGATTTAGCATTATTTAGTGCAGCATTTCTCAACATATCTTTAATCACGAAGCGCTTTTTTCATGTAACACATATAAACACTTTGAAGAATGACTCTTCTGTGGAATGAACTTAATCACATGTTGTTCCAAACTATAGAAAAAAATCAGTCACAAGTAAAAGCTTCATGGAACAAGTGTTCAGAATGGATGTTCTTAATTACTGAATAATTATGGAGAAGACTCTAGGTATTCCTAGTGAGAAAAAAACCTTAGTGAAGGGTTAATGGTTTATTTTAGATGAAATAAGAACAGAGAAGAAGCCAGTCTGAGTGAGGTGAAGGATGCATAACTTAAGTGAGATCAGATTATGAAGTCTTGAAATCCATTTATACACTTATTTTTATCATTCTCAAGTATCATTAAGTTCCTCCTGTATGCTAGCCACTACTTAGACACTAACAACTTGGTATCTCAGGTAACAGGGAAAATGTATCTCTTGTCGATTTTTAAAATCTATTTATAAAACCTTTATTGAGCACCTATTGGGTACTGCTTTGGAGATACTAAATTGCTTGACCATTTAGCTTTCATTTTTAAGGATCCCACCAGTACATAAATGACAATTTCAGAAAACAATGTACAGTGAAGCAATAGAAAGAATGTACAGACCCGAATGAGGGGGATACCCCACAAGCCTCTGACAGCTGGGGAAGGATGTCAGGGACTGTTTCCTGGAGAAAGTGACACATGAGCTGTGCCTTAAAGGTAAGTAAGAGGTAGCCAAGTAATGAGAGAAGAAGGGCTTCCAGGCATGGTGGATACTTAGCAAGAACATTGGCACAAAGGAGAGAGTCTGGTGAACGGTGTGTACCGGAGAATTAGAAGCATGGCTGGAGGGACAAGTGTAGTAGGGGATGAGTCCAGAGAGGCAAGCAAGGACTAGAGGGTCTCTTAGCCACATTGAAACCTTGACCCTTTAAATCAGAGGGAACTCTGGGAACATTGTACTTTAGGGAGCACTCTGCCCACACTTACGATTTAAACAGATCATCCTACAGCCAGGTGGATGATGGATTTGGGAGATGTGTTAAGAAGCTGTTACAACTCAGATGAAGTTGGCTGATAAAAATGTCTCTGGGAAGCTAAAGTAGGTATCTGTAAGATACACACAGGACTCGAGCAGAGTTTGTCAGGTGTTAGGAACCTGTTGATTCTTACTTTGCACACAACTCAATTAATAATAAGCCTGCCTGGTGTTATGCTTTATCACGCAGTGGATTTCTTTTTTTTAACAGAACAGGAAGAAACTGCTAGAGACAATAACACCATCAAGAAATTATAAATAGCAGACAAAGAGTAGGCAAAAGCAATAAAAACAGCATAAGGAATATAGTTAGTAACACTGTAATAGTATGTACAGTGCCAGATAGGTAGTAGTCTTATCAAGGTTATCACTTTGTAAGGTAAATAAATGTCCTTTCCATTATTTTCACAGTACCACACTGAGTTTTAGTGCCCACACTTAGTTCTTGGTCCTATAGAGAGAATTTATACATAAATACTAACTCAAGACACTGTATAGTACACATTAGCTAATACAGTATTCAATTTTGACCATGCAAGGTACAGTAACTCTAGAATTCATACTTGGGATTTTAAGAAGTATTTTAGTTTCAACTACCAAGGCAAACATTGTAATTTTTATATTTTGGGAATGAACATACCTTATACCAATGAAACTGTTTTCCTTGAACTGCAAAGATGACATTAATGTTGTTGTCTATTAACTTCTCTGAGAGTTGACCTAGTGAGGGATGTTCCTGTCAATGGATAATGAAATAAAGAAGAGAGTGAATTTAGAAGCTTGATTCCACACATATTCAAACATTTCTTATGAGGGAAACTGTATGACTGACATAAAAATGTATTTTGTTGGGAAGGGCTATCATTTTACTAGGGACATTAAAGTTCTTCTAAAAAATAAGAAATAAGATCAATATTAATATATCAAGGAGTTTGAATAGATAAAAGCTACATAAAAACATAAAGCTCAGAAAAATGAAAAGGGCTGAATTCAACATAGTACAGAGTGTTCAGCACCTCTTTAGGTTAACATGAGAATCAAAGTGATATAACTGAAAGATAATTTAATATTCAGAAACAGACTCATTAGGGACAATCAAATTCTGAGGCAAAATTCATTAAAAAGTGTTGAAATGCAAATATATGCATACACACACATTTGAAATATCACATGATACAATACAAACTCTGTTTAGAACAAGAAAACCTGGTACTCAAATCCAAGGTTGTCACTGAATGATAAAAATTCTATCTTGGGCCCATCCTCTCTAACATGTGAATACTACCTGGTTTCCATGATTGCTGGTAAAATGAAGATAACATTAGTATGTGAACAATTTAGTGCAGTTTCTTGCATAGCGTAGGGGCTCAAAATTAATATCAGTTATCATGATTTTTACTTCCCACAGCTTATACAAGGTATAGGTTACAGAGCTCTCAAATTACTATCATTCTGCTTAACCTTTCTGCCATATATATATATATGTATTTTTTTGATCTGTGTTACTTCAATAAATAAAGGTTATGTAGAACCAACCATGAAATTCTTTGTGGTGGTGAGAAAGCTTGGGATGAGTAGAAGGAAAATATGATATAGTTTAGCAAATATGAGAAATCTGACAACTTGGAAATTGCTATATCTAAAGTTATAGATATTGTACTTGATATTTTTTCTTTCTATAAATGCTCTTCTAGAATAAACTAATCTCAAGTAACAACATCACAATAGATACCTTTCTGAGGGGTGATGTCAAACTTGACCTGCCCTGGTCCCCACCTGTCCCTTGGTGCCTAGTTATATTAGCCAGAGATCGTACTGAGCTCAATTAGTGTCCTATGATTCAAGTTCAAATTACTCTGTAGTTTTTATTCCCTTTTCTAACCTGCAGTGCTAATTGTTTGGTTAAGGGAAATTTGGCTAAACCATCTTGGTTAACATTTCTGTATTTTGGCAGATATGTAAATTTATTACAGAGCTAATTTTATTAGTTTTGCTTATAGACTAATTTTTGTGACTGAGATATTAAATTTATATGCAAGACATAAGAGATAGCTTTGGGCTTAAAAATATTAACACTAACATGAGCAACTGCTACGAGCTGAGTATTTGGGTCCCCACTCCCCAAATTTATATGTTGAAATCCTAACCCCCAAGGTGATGGTATTAGAAGGCGGGCATTGAGGAGATGCTTAAATCATTAAGGGAGAACCCTCTTGAATGGATTAGTTCCCTTATACAAGAGGACCAGTGGGAGAAGTTCCCTTGCCCCTCCACTAAATGAGGTGACAGCTAGAACATGTCGTCTGTGAGACAGAAAGTAGGCTCTAACCAGACCCCGAATCTGCCAGTGCCTTGCTCTTGAACTATCCAACCTCCAGAACTGTGTGGAGTATATTTCTGTTGTTTATAAGCCATATAGTTTACGGTGTTTTTCTTTTTGTTATAGCAGCCCAAATGGACTAAGATAATAACCATAACAAATACACTTTTATTTTTATATAATCTATAATTGCTATGGTAGAAGCAAATCAAATTTTTATGAACTGTATTTAAATGTGATATGAAACCAATTTCTTAAGAAGTTTAAAAAATATTACCACATGGATTTCCATGAGAAACATTTTGCCCAGAGCAATTCTTAAAATACAATTTTAAAGCAATAGAAAAATAATCCCCCAAATATAAATTCTACCAGATAAATTCTTTTGCTTGTTCCTAATTTTATATATATATATATATACATACATATATATATATATATACACTCTTAAAATAGATTTATGACAGTTTGCATAATGCTAGTATATTTTTAAAAAAAGTAAAGGAAGGGTGCATCTAGTTGTGGTTGAAGTATGTTTTGATGGCAACAACTACTTTTCAAATATTTTTGCTTTTACAAAAAATAATTGCAATTTGCCAAGCATTCCCTCTTCTTAATTTTTCAAACCATTCACATTGTAAGGATAATTTAATCCATATGTTTTTAACCAGCTTATACTTAACTCACATAAAATCAATATTTAAATAACAGTCCAAGATGTAAGCAGCTCTTGGAGCCTTCTTAATCTCTTTCCACTTTCAAAACCAGGAAGTCACATTGACCAAAAGTACACAAATTTTATATCTAGAAAGTTCTAGTTTAGTCAGAAGCTCATTAAAAACATGGTCAGTTGGATTATTAAGCTTAAAAGAACACATTTTTTGAACCCTAGAAAGAAATCTCTTTCAAAGAAAATTCCAAGTACCTTGACGCAGATTTGTTAAAATTACAAATGTTTAACAGATGTTTAAATAAACCACGTTGACTGGAGAGCTATAGATTACTGACCATTGTTGAAACCCCTTCCCCTTTCCCCCGTGAAGCACATCTTTTAAGTATTTTCTCTTTTATGTCTTGTATCTTACCAGCAGGAACACTCCCTCTCAGCCAGCTGTTCTGGTGACGTCGCTGCTCCTCATCCCTAACTCCCCCTTTGTCTAACCCATTACATATTGTTTCTCTAAACTCTGAAAATAATTAATAGAGATAACAGGCATTCCACGAAGAAGGGGAAGCCATGTCCCAAGACAGCTGCTATGTAAGTAAGGGCAAAAAGATTCCTTTCACATTTTTCTCCTTCACCAACACCTTCGCTGTGACTTGTGGGAAATAACTTAGAAATGTCCAAAGGGGAGAGGAGTTAAGAAAGATTATGGAAAGCAATTTTGGTCAGAGATAACTGTGTAGAGATGTATGGGAGAATTTTAATAATGTGCATATGTAGTGGCAAAAAAGAAGTGTTTAAGATTTTAAGATTCTCCTCATAAAAGTGAGGATCATAAAAATATTTTGTAAAATAATAAAGAATTTGTAGTATTGAATATCATAATATAAAAAAATCCCAATGTCTTCATTAAAGCACTCAATTATCTGGATTTTTTTTTTACAGTTCATTTTTTAGAGGAAAGAGACAACATGAAAGCGATCTTAGATTTATTTAGAGATGAAGACTTTATGTGATTTCAGCCTATTTTCTATGTACATGACTAAACAGCAATAATCACATGGATCAGGGTTTCTTATCAGTGACACTGTCGATGTTTGGGAGCCAGGTATTCTGTGTTGGTGGGGGGCGGGGGGGCTGTCCTGTGCGGTGGAGGATATTTCGCAACATCCCTGGCCTCTAGATTCCAGTTTCTCCTGCTTCCCTCAGTTCTAACAACCTAAATGCCTCTGGACATTGAAATGTCCTGTGGGGGGCAAAACTGCTCCAGTTAAGAACCATATGAAGAAAAAGGGCTCTGGAAGCAGACCACCTGGGACCTTAACCCCTGGTTCTGCGATTACTAATTATGTAACACTGGCCAGCTGTCTTAACCCCTCTGCGATCCAGTTTCCATGTGTATAAAATAGGTGCAAATACTAGTATCTCTCTCTTAGAGTTCTGGTGGGGATTAAATGTGTTAATATGTGCAAAGGCTTTACTTACCATTCTGTAATTACTAAGCTTAGATTAGTAGTGAGTAGAAGTTCATGTCCTGATGTCACACTGCTTGGCATTTCCCGTTGGCAATACTATGTAGGGCTGTATGACCACAAGCAAGTTCCTGATCTCTTTAGTATTTCTATTTTCTCACTTACAAAAATGGAGGTAATAGCCATATCTACACCTCACTGGGTTGTTGGGTGGTGGTATGTAAATGTAAGGGACAAGACCATAGGGCTGCCTAAGAAAAGACAGCTTTCAATATGACTTCATAAAATGCACTTGGAGGTCATTACTAAAGGCTAGAGGTTGGGCTCTTGCATATGCTTTATTTGACTTGCCTGATTTACTTACCCTTACTACCTGGCCCCTGCAGTGTTTGAATGTGAGGCTCCTTCTCAACATAGTATCAGTGGTAACCATGAGATCTTAGTTACTGAAGTGAGGGGCATGGATTGATAATTTTTGCAAGCTTTCCAATGAATGAGAGTGGTAATAAAAAGGTTTTTGTGCTTAAGTATGAACTGAAACATATAATTGGAACATTCCATTTTGTAAATATTGTCATCAAATTTTGTTTTCATTGTGCCACTTTAGCAAACCATTATTTTTTCTCATTATCAGAGCCATTATGCCAACAAAAGCAACGCTAGTCTAAGCCTGGCCCAGGTGATTCTGTGTGCAACTTTTGCTTTCAATTAAAAAAAAATAAACTGAATATTGTTTGCAGAAGTCATTTCCTGGCTACTTTACTGCTACCATGAAAAGCATTCACAGGTCTAATCTGAAGTGATTATTGCTTTCATGGCATTTACAATTTAAAACAGTTCACAGAGCAGCTGATGTCAGAGATTGTGTTAGTTTTAAAAATTGTAACAATATTTTTTTTTACTGTGAGAAATTTAATGTCAGAACTAATAATACATGCTTGCTAATATTTGCTGATAAAAATAATAAAGCCTATATTGAGGTGTGTAATTCCAGAACCTATAGAAATCATGCATAGAAAATTAAAATTTTAAACAGAACTTGAAAATAAATTTTCCTAAATCTGGTACTGCAATTCTTTAACAGAGGGTTTTATAACTGGTAAATATGAGAAGAGCTACAAATAAATAAATCATACTGTGCCAAATAAGCTTTCCCCAGGGCAAGAATATCTAAATGCCAATTCTCTTTAATAGAGTCTTAGTATCAGTTAATATTCTGCTATACTTTTTTATTGTTGTTCAATTATAGTTGTTCCCATTTCCCCCCATTATTCTCCCCT